ATAAACACTCACTTTCATTGCTTAGTCTTTTTACGAGAGCCGTTTGCCACAGCTGCATAGAAAGTCTCAGGGTTTGACTGCAGCAAACACACTTTCCTAGCAAAAAGACGAGGTTTCTGAGGTTCAGTCATTATCATTATGGGCATGTACGAAATTACTTTTGTTTTCTCATTTTCACTTCTTTCAATTTAATGCATCATTACATTGGATCCACTATTTATATTTCTGCACACATCACTTGGGATAGAGTGGAACATCAGTCATTTAATGTTTCCATTTTTATGTTGTTCTCTCTCTTTATACATTAGAACATGGTGTGACTCCTGATAAAACCATTTTGAGGATGAGTCGTTACCATCAGAAGCTGGATGAATGAAGACTAGTCAAGAACGTGACCAGATTATAAATCACTCCAAAATATTGGGTTTTAAATATAAACTTCATTTAGGACCATTCATTTTTTTTTCATCATGTAAACTGGTGTTTAATTGTCATGAAAATAATGTAAAAATAAAGCATTTCCAGGGTATATTTCACTCCAAAATCAAAGTAAAGAAAATGATACTAATAAATATGTAAATAAATAAATTAAACATTCAGATAATTATTAAATGCAATTATTATTATTATAATTATTTTGGCATTAGTCACGATGGATTACAATTTGTGGTTAGAAATGTGTTTAATTGTCATGTAAATAATGTCAAAATAAAGTATTTCCAGGTTATATTTCACTCAAAAATCAAAATACGTAGATTTTAAAAATAAATGTTTATATTTGTTTTAAAATAAATTTTACAGACAAATACATTTTTAAATAAATATTTTGTGTTATAGTTAATTACTATGTCTAATTACTATGAAAACAATTTGTGGTTAAAATTGGTTTAATTGTCATGAAAATATTGTCGAAAAAAGCATTGTTATATTTCACACCAAAGTGATTTAAAATAATAATAATAACAATAAATAATAAATAAATATTTAATTAATTAATTACAAATAAATTGTACATACAAATAAATAAAAAGAATAATATTTTGTATTATAGTCACAATGTGTTACGATGACAATTTCACACCAAAGTGATTTAAAATAATAATAATAATAATAATAATAAATAATAATAAATAAATATTTAATTAATTATTTACAAATAAATTGTACATACAAATAAATAAAAATATTAATATTTTGTATTATAGTCACAATGTGTTATGATGACAATTTGTAGTTAAAATGTGTTTAATTGGGATTTTTTTTTTAATGAATGAATGAATGAATGAAATAAAACGTACATACAGATACATGTAAAATATATCTGTTTTGTATTACAGTCATGGTGCATTACTATGATGACAATTTGTGGTAAAAAATGTGAAATGAAAATAATGTCACAAAGCCAAAAATGTTAATGGTCCTAAAAAAGGCTTAATTTTTTAAAATGTAAAATAGATCTTTTAATTTCAGGGTGAAATATGACCTGGTGGACAGTAAGTGCAGATAAACCTCAGTCTAGCCTGAAGATACTAATGATTAAAGTGTGGCGTTTAGAGACTGTTCCCACAGCCCTGTCTGTCAGTCTCTGGCTCTCCTTCATCTTTGTGTGTAAAAGCCCCTCTAGACTCGCTCTTAAAGTGTGTTACGTGGCGAACCCAGCTTTCTGTTCTGAGGACAGGTGCTGCGTCTCAAGGCCAGGTGGTTTCGCTAGACACTTGAATTCTTTTCATGGTACGACCAGCATAAAATAAAATCCAGTGGGTGTGTGAACGGTTAAATATATAAATGCGGCTTTCTTTTCTGTGCCTCTGTCCTTTATAACGCCAAACAATTCCCTTCCTCTGAAAGGTCCTTCTCTGATCATATTGAGCCGGATTTATGACGCCAATTTTAATAAAACTATTAACCTTGATTAACGGAGGAGTGTTCCAGCATGAGATCAGATCAGATGCTATAAAAAGACTTGGCCGGCATTGTGATGCATGACGTAGTTATCCGTCCTGTCACACGGAGGCAGCGGCGAGAACAATGCTTTCAGAAGCATTCACACGTTTTTCTCTTTCCCAGACGTAACCTTTCTCATTTTCTGCTCCTTATCTGTTCATTTCAGGTCCCATTAATTATCCCCACTGCATGACATAGATGAGTCTTCAATCTTTTTCACAGAGAGAATGAAACCGCTGAAACACGTCTATTTAACTGTCTTTTAAATCCCAAAAGCCTGGACTTGACTTGTCAATTGATTTCCAGATCCAGATGATTTTTACTGCACATGCATGTTACATGTTGTTATTTTTATATGTATCTTAATAAAAACACCTCAAGCTGTTCTTTTCATGTTGCAAGAAACGCATCTGCTTTTATGTGAGTTTATTCTTTGTGTGCATGTCATTTTACATCTGATGTCAAGACTGCAGGATAAAACTTTTTTTTTTTTGCTATTGTCGGTTTATTGATTTGATATTGATACCGATCCTATTTGTTTTAAAATGTAACCTTTTGATTTTATTGTGAATTATTCTTCAGTGCACTGTTTTAAAACGTGAACCCACATTAAGTGTTTTAGGATGTCTCAAAACCGTGCCTTGAACCAAGCACTGACTGTATTTCTTAATACTTGAGTCCAAGTTCAAAATAAAACTCTATGAACCGCTCCATTGTGAACGTATGGAACTGTATGAACCACTGCCATACACTGCAAGCTGTAAAGTAAACAGGAAGTGTTTGTCCGAACTCAACTGGTTTTTTGCGAGAGAATGCAAAAGTTTTGCGAGGGAACGCAAATATCTTAGTGAAAGAACGCAAAAGTTTTGTGAGAGAATGCAAAATATTAGAAAAAATATTTTTCTCTCCCACCCCAATTTTTTCCACTACCATGTCCCTTTAGGGGCTCCGTAGAAAATACGTGATGAAGTGGTCGACCAATATATTTAGAAAAAAACAACAATGTTTTATATATTGTTTTATACTGTATATATATATTTATTTATAATATATTTTCACAATTTAACAAAAAAAAAAGTGTTCTATTTTTTTTATATATATATTTTTTTGATTTAGATTATGTAATATTTACACAATTTTATTAAATAATGTGTTCTAAATCATTTTATATATAAATATTTAAATATAAAGTTAATTTAAATTAGTGCTGTCAAACGATTAATCGCGATTAATCGCATCCAAAATAAGTTTTTGTTTACATAATATATGTGTGTACTGTGTATATTTATTATGTATATATAAAGACACACACATATTAATCGTTTGACAGCACTAATTTAAATTTTTATTAAAGAATGTAAAAAAAAAGTGTAACTTTTTTTGTTACATTTTGTAAATATTGTATACATATAGAATTTAGAAAAAATTAGAGCACATTAAATTAAATTGTATATATAAAACACAATTTAACTTAAAATGTGCTCAGATTTTTTTATAATTTAAATGTGCCCAATTATATGTGTGTAGATCAAGATGGGAAGGAGCTGCACAAGGAAGAAAACCGGCCACAAAATTAATAATTTAGTCACAATGTTTAATTCTCGTTTAAAGTGCAATGAATGACAGTCGGGAGCAGGTTGGAGGAGAGGAAGGAGTGAGAGAGATGCTTAAATCAAAAAACTAAACAAAAACAAAACTCCCAATAACGTCTCGGTTACTTGTGTAACCCTCGTTCCCTGAAGGAGGGAACGGAGACGTTACGTCAGTCTGTGGATCTGGGTAAGCCAGACATGGAGCAATGCACAGATGTTGTTTCAGCTCATTCATGGCATTTTGCTGTTCGTCTGTCCAGGCGAAGGGGCAGTCCTTTTTCAGAAGGGCAGTGAGAGGGCGTGCAATGTCCGAATAGTTCTCAATGAACTGCCTTGAATAGTTGCACACACCTAGAAAACTTCGGAGTTCTGGGACATTGGCAGGTGGTTTAATGTTCTGAATGGCCTGGATGCGGCTGGTTTGTGGCTCAATACCCCGTGGTCCGATGAGTAGGCCCACGTAGTTGACCTTGGGTTTGCACTGTTGTCTACGTAATTACAGTATATGTTACGTCCCTCATCAATCAGTTATGATTCTTCTAGGAATATTGTTAGATATAACATACAAAATTTTAGGTGTGTGTATATCAAGATGGGAAGGAGCTGTACGAGGAAAAAACCGGCCACAAAATTAATAATTTAGTCACAATGTTGAATTCTCTTTTAAAGTGCTTGAGAGAGAGTGAAGTATTAAAGTAAATATTTACAATATGTACAATCAATGAATGACAGTCGGGAGCAGGTTGGAGGAGAGGAAGGAGCGAGAGAGATGCTTAAATCAAAAAACTAAACAAAAACAAAACTCCCAATAACTAAGGTTAACCAAACCATAACTATCTATCAACAGAAAATGTAGAAACAAACATCTTCAGCGTTCAAGACGCCATGCCTAACCTTACTCTTAACTAATCAAACAAAAACGTACAAAATGAGCACCTCTCGCACTAGCCTGGTGTGTCTAATACAGTAGTGAAAACCTACATGTAAATGTATGTCGCGACATGCTTACCTTACTCACAACCTCTCCGATACAATTCGCACAACTCTCATCAGTGACTAGACAGGAGTTTCACAACCGACACCTTGATCGGATAACATCAGACAAGTGCAACATGCACATCAGTCATAATCAACAACAAGCAAATCACTGATACTACTGCAAGGAAAACAGAACCGTAACTCCAACAAAAACAGACTCTCAGACTGGTCTTCTCGCAAGAGAGAGAACCGTCCTCACAGAGCCGTAACAGTGTGTGTGTGTGTGTGTGTGTGTGTGTGTATATATAGGCTATATGCATAATGATGAATATTTGAATAATCATGAATTATTATGTTTTGATGTTTGAATGTTTGATCCATAAAAATATGGAACAATTTTATGATGCTGGTCTAGTAAAATTCCGTACACTGATTCCCTTGACGAATTTTAAAATCCTCAAATAATGTGTCTTTTTCTATATCTAGGTTCCATCTTCCCGACATACAGACCCTCAGACACCGTCTTCAAGATCACGTTTTGGCTGGGCTACTTCAACAGCTGCATCAACCCCATCATCTACCCCTGCTCCAGTCAGGAGTTTAAGAAAGCCTTCTTGAGCGTGTTGGGCGCCCGCTGCCTCCGCAAGAGATCCACGCCGTCCCACACGCTCTACCAGAGCCACAGTCCCCGGCATGGCCAATCTCAGATCCTCGGCCTGACGAGCCGCGACAACCCATCCCGCCTGAGCCCGTCCTCCTCCATAGCTCTCTCCCGCAGCCCGTCCTCCCAGCACGGCCGGGAATGGCAGGCCCCTTCCCGGACGTCGTCGGCAGGGACGACTGGTGTCAGCGCCGGTGTGAGCGTGGGAGCCAAAGTGGCGGGGACGGGTGGGAAGAACCTGCTGAGGACGTGCTGCTGCGTGAGAAAGGATTCACCACAGCCCGAGCCGCCCACGCACAACTCGCTTCCCGTCATCAAAATCCATCAGCTCTCGCTGTGTGAGGACGGGGACGCGGTGTGAATGAGCACGCTGGGGAAATCACTCCACTCACGCTGGCTGTGATGCCACTTTGCCACTTGACAGAGCCTCAGACTGGAGAACACAAACTGATGAAGAAAAGAGAGCTTTTGATTGAAACGATCAGCGATGGGAACATGGAAAGCTGCTGCGACACTGTTGATGCTTAATAAAAGCACGGTTCAGCTTTGCATGAAAACTCTGTCTTTATTTACTCACTCTCGTGTCTTTCCAAACCTGTGGAATGACAGTCAGTGAACTGAAATGCAAATAAGATTTTGCAGCTTCGACAGAGGGAAGTGCATTAACTTTAACCCTGTAAAGCCTGAGATAGGAAATAATAGTAGGAAAAATCTCTTTTTTTTTTAAATGGAGCAGTCTGAACCTTAGTTCAGAATATAAAGTAGATTTGCATTTGTTTTTTTTTGCTGGGTATCATATTTGATACATCAGGCATTTATGGCTGATAATATAAAGTATGATATAGGAGAATATGGAGCTCATACTTGAGGAGGAAAAACACCCCAATTTTATTCAGAGGCCCAAATAGAGCAACAATGTGACATTTGATGCAGACTCTGATATTTATATGGCCAAAAGGATGAAAAGTGTGTAATGTAAATCAGTGAGATTTTCATAACAGTATAACAGACTACTCACAAAAAAATGGTATCAGTTATTACTCTATATCTCCCAATAATATGTCTTAGTAAGATGATATTTAATGCTTAGGTTTATGATCAAATCTCTGTAGTTTCAAAACCTATGCAACGCAATACAATGATGATTGAGAGATGAACAAATAAACCTTCCTCAAAAGCCTGATGACCATATTTGATACTCACATTTCAACATGATTTTTCTAAAAAAATAATGTATAGACAATCAAGTAAACCTACTTCTGTCCATTAAGCATTCCTCTTGAAATATTATTAACAATATAAAAGCTATTCTTTCATTTACTTTATAAAAATCTGTAAAGATTTCAAAACAAAAAGACATGAGAAGCACAAGCTGAAGGTGGACGTTTGTATTATTACACTAAAAGGCATTCTACTTGCTAAAAAAAAGTCTAAACTATCAATCAGATGACAGAAGGCATGGAGTGGATTGTGTTATAGGGTTTCAGCAGTTTTGATCATGTTTAGAGGCCTAAGAAATTAATGTATCAAATAAATGCCTGTAGGCTTTATAGGGTTAAACTCAGTTTGTTCCTCACACAAATATGTCATGTTCTTCAGAAGATGTTGAATATATAACCCACAATTGGTATGGACTATTGTATGCTGCTTTTATTGTATTTGCTTGAGCTTGACAAACACAGTTGCTATGACCTCTCGTTGTTTTATGTTTTTAGGTTTGGAATGACATGAGTGTGAACAAATAATGACGGAAATATCATTTTTGAGTTAACTATTTCTTTAAAAGGAGGATGTCCAGGACGTTTGCTTGGAAATTATGGTGAACATCATTCTGCATGGGTCTGTGATAATAAATACCAGCAAATTTTTTTTTAATCGACAGCAGTTTTAACATGTCTAATGAGTGTTTCTATATATAAAAAAAGAAAATAATATTATATTTTTGACTGTTGTTCTCCAGTTCATATCTTGTTTGTTCAATGCTCAGAAATTGCACTACAGTTAATGTTTGAGTATGATTCAAAAGCCCATTTCACCTGATGATTAATCGTGATGCAAAGAAACCATATTGAACTGGGAATCAATCGTAATTGTATCTTTCTGATATTCCTGCATGGTCTTCTTATTTTCTGTGTAAAAAATGATTCCACATGAACGTCAGAAAGAGCTTTCCATGTGTTTCACCGTGGGACCAACCATCACCCTTCCCATAATTTGTGTTCTTTGGGAAATGCACAAATTTCCATGTGGTATTGATACTTGACCATAACAATGAATATGTGAAGATGACCTCAAAATGACCAACTTATGTTGCTTAAATGCCTTATAACAAGTGGCATTTCTGTTATTGTGTTTGTTTCTCAAATGAAAGAAAATCATGTGATTCCAATATGGAAATATCCAATAAAACATACTGCATTATAAGCATTTTGGGAATCGTTCTGATTGAGCTTCCGAAACGACCCACCATGAGAATGTTATCGTGGTTGCTATGACATTCCAGCACTGGACACATTCCCCTAGTGACTGATGGGCTATTCACAGTTTAATGGAAATGTGTCCTGCTGTATCGATCAAGTACAGTATGAGAAATGTAATGAGAAATGGAATAAGAAGTGTGTTAACTTTTAATATTTTGGCTTCTGCATGTGTGCCAGTTAAAGTAGATAAGGAATGAGATGATGGGGATGTTCCGGAAACATTCATCCCGTGAGACACTACAGTACGGCCTTTTTATGTCAAAACCACATGAGTTACAGTTATGACTATACTTTTTTATTTTTTTTTTCTTTACAAAGATGACATTTTTTTTCTCTGAAGTCCACTTATAATTTTAATGGGAGTTTTCCAAGTTTATATGGATTTTTTTGAGACGCCACAAACACCAACCATCTTCCCAAATGTGTAATGAGAATAGTTCATAAATTAGTTTTTAGCAAAAGTCTCGGTTTTATGCCAAAATAAAAGCTCTATGGTTCAATGTTTAAAAGCAAAGAAATTATACTGCCCATAAATATTAATATTGTAATTTTTCTATTGTTTTGTAAAATATTATTGTTAATAATAATAATAATAATAAAATAATAATATACTTTTTAATTTTTATTTGTTTAATATTAATTGTATAATCTAAATGACAAAAATTGTATTTTGAATAGAAATATTAATAATTATATTATTATTAAAAATATATTTTACAGTATAACTGTAAATAGTAATAATAATTTCCCTTTTTTGTCTTTAGCTGATCACAGACTGTTGCGCCAAAACAGCTGTAATTTAGTGTTTTATCACCATATTTAAACCACATTTTTCACAAAGACAATCCCAGAATGCATTGCCCCAAAGGGGCAATATGAGTTTGCTAAGAAATCCTGTGGTTGCTAGGGTCCTCTATTGCCAGGTGATTATTTAGTTAAAAGAGTCTGTCTGTAAGTCTCTTTGATGTTGCGGTCGATGGATATGTCCCTGCTGTTTTATTTTATTGTTAGCCTACTTTATTGTCTGAAAATCACAAGTAAGCCTAGAAATGTAATATACTTCTCAGCAATCCACACGATTTGAGGTGTCATTCATGTGTGCTGCACAAGCGATGGTCAAGGGATTGTTCAAACCCACAGCCCTGATTTTGAGCAATAGTATAATCATGATGCTCGTCTTAGCAAACAGCACTAATATTCTACACTCTTAAAAATAAGGGTGCTTCACGATGCCATAGAAGAACCTTTTTGTCTAAATGGTTCCATAAAGAACCTTTAACATCTGAAGAACCTTTGTGTTTCACAAAAGGTTCTTTGTGGGGAAAGAAGGTTCTTCAGATTATAAAAAGGTAAGAAAGAGATGGTTCTTTAAAGAACCTTTGACTGAATGGTTCTTTGTGGAACCAAAAATGGTTCTTCTATGGCATTGCTGTGAAGAACCTTTTAAGCAGCTTTATTTTTAAGAGTGTAAACACATTGTGGTCAGTTGTGGCATCTCAGAATGGCTGTTTTTGATTTATGGCAGTGCTCAGAAAAAGCCTGTTTACAGAAGCATAAACCGAATCATCTGGGGAGGATTTTTTTTGCAGGAGTACTAGTTGCGACTAATCCAAAACCCTTCCCCTATATCTTCAACATCTTATTATCACCGTTCACAGTGTTTCTGAGAGCATCTCAGATCACTTCACATTATGGAAGGAAGACAAAGTCAAAGCCAAAAGTCTTTAACTAGAATCTTGTGCATCTTGAAGTCTTTAACTTTAACTAGTGTCAACACACACTGTTTGTCTGTGGCCGATAAAATTACTGTATTTAAGACGCATATGTGCACGATGGTACGTTGGTATATAAGTATACAAGCATCAAACGTCATGTTTAATTATGAATGATGTCTTAATAATAGTACAATGGTATTCACATTTGCGAACGTCAAATGTTATTTTTGTTCATGAGGGATAACGCATCAGTACATTATGTATATTTTCCAGTCCTTTTAAGTTGTTTAGTTCAACGTTCTTTCTCAAGTAGAAAAGTCTTAATTTACATTGTAAAATAATTAGCATAGTAGATATCAGTAAAGCAATGCCATAATAAAATATAGAAAGGATTAATATGTGGGTAAATCTAGAGGTAAATGTGTATTACACGTTTGAACACGGTCAGAATGTGCGCGTGTTGACACGCTCAAATTCGTTGTCTTAATGAGATAAAACTGTGCGTCTTTACACGTATACGAAACATGGTGAAAACTGACACCTAAACATGGCCAGAATGTGCATGTCTACACATACAAAAGAAACACATTCTAAATTGCCTCGTTAATGAGGACAAACAGTGCATGTTGAAACGGTCAATTTCACGTGCTCTGTTTAAAGACTTTTGGCTCCATTCACCTTCCATATCGAGTGGCATCTCATATCATTGACGGCGCCTCGACGTCACTTATTCTCAAGTAGACATTTATTGTACAAGTGTCATATTCACTGTCTCCCTCTTTATCCCTGTGTTGCTATGTGGCACCAGGCCAACATTTTACTTCCAAATGTAAATTTGGTTTAGTGCAATCTAATATATTACAAAGGCACAGAAGGTCAAACGCAGCGGGACGCTACTAATAATACAATCACAATAAATCACTGTGGAATTTAGCATTAAATCTGAGAGCAGGTTTATCAGACAAAATGTTCAGCTAATGTTGACGTAATACCTCTCAACGTCTTAAAGGAATAGTTTGGACAAAAATGAATCATTGAGGACTTCATGGTATTCAAGGCCAAATTACTTCCTTGTCTTTGTGAAGATGTTTTGTAGAATTTCCAATAATTTCTTTGCAATTGATGAAAGTCGACAGTGACCAAAGGCTGTTAAAGTCAACAATAAATGCCATTTGAGACATATTTCTGACATTTAGTATTAAGAAAAAGCAAGTTTTTCTATGGGAAATAATGTGCATGGATGAACTACGCACAATAAGACCAGGAACAAGTAGGAAAGCAAAATATTGACGTTATGTTGAGCAAAATCGAAAAAAATAAATAAATAAATAACATAAAATCATAAAAGTAGTCTGTACAAACCAAGCACTGTATTTCAAGTCTTCTGAAGGCTTTCTGTGAGAAAAAGTTAAATATTCCAAGACACCAAAGGCTTGTTATTATTATTATAAATACTTTTTTGTTTTACAGTAAAATTTATTGTTTTAATTGTATAATTTAAATAAAATATAAATAATATTTTGAATATAATAATAATAATGATAATTAACATTATTAATAATATTAATATTATTACTGTTATTATTATAGTATGGTCATACTAAATGAGGAAAAAACTGTTAAATAACACGTTTCAAGAAATTTCCAATCATTTCTTTGCAACAGTGACCAAAGGCTGTTAAAGTCAGCAATAGGCCTATATGCCTATATATATATTTCATAGTTTAGTTTAGTGAAAAGAAAAAGCTATTTTTGTATTTAATATAATGCGCATGGATGAATCGTGCACAATAATACCAGAAATGTTTACTGAAGCATGTTTGCTCAGTTGACTTCATATTGAAAAAAAAAAACATAATAAATGTAGTCTATACAACCCACACACTATATTTCAAGTCTTCTAAATTCTGTGAGAAAAAAAAAAAAGATTAAAAATCTTCTTTCCAAGACACCTCGTGCATTATTTCATGAAACAGCAACTTTGTATACTATATGTTGTGCAAATGAACTTTAATTATAATCTTTGTGTTTTGCATTGAATAAATAAAAGATTAGGGGTTTATTTTTGTCTGAACTATTCCTTGAGATTTTCGCCCAATTAGGGGCCCAAGAAAACATAGTCCGATATAAATCCGTCTGCATATCTGAAGGGAAAACACATCGTTTTTTCATAGAAGTCCGTCTTGAATTTGTCATTGGCCTGACACACCAAGGTTGCACATTTCCTGGGTCTGAGTAACACAGTGTTCTCATGGGACTGAGATACGCTTCATTCAGGCCTGCGTCAGAGCCGCTCCAAACATAGTGCACATGAGAAAGCCATCGCCCACAGAAACATGGCAACAATGTCTGCTAAAAGTTCCAGCCCTCGCTGGAAAGATCATGTGTTTAGACCCCAGAGCAACATTTACATCCATGCTGATGATCATGGGCTCAGAAAATGGTGTGTTTTATGTATACGAAATGTGAGTTTCTCAACACATCTACACTCCATACCTCCATGCACATTAACATGGAAATGTTTCCTTAAATCAATAGCTGATCCTTGCAAATTACTGTTTGGCCACACATGAGGTGGTTACTGTACAGCAGGGTCAGAAATCGACCAAATATTTCTTGTGGAAACATGTGGAAATGAAATCTAAATCTGTATCACTCTCTCTGCAGATGTGTGGTATATATAAATAAATAATACATGTGTAAATGGCAAACAATTATCATCATGATAATACATCAGCCTCAAAAAAAAAAAAAAGTGTGTGTGTGTATATATATATATATATATATATATATATAC